ATACATACATACATACAATGTCTTCCTATACCAAATACCTTAATACTTCGGCATTTACATTGCTTAATGAAATGAAATCAACATTTTAAAATTGAAAATAAATTCACGTTTGAGTATTCAAGTTTTATTATGAGTGTAAACGCCAGCAATTATTCCTCCACTTTTTCCATCTTCTTCCTTCCCCACTCACTAACAACAACCTGTTAATGGATGTTACAATCACACACACACACACACGCACACAAAAACTCGCACACGCACGCACACATACACAACACAAAACAACATTTGTAGATCGCTTCGGGACATGTATTGTATTTATAGGCATTGAATTTGAATGTTCATGTCTTTCTGTTTGTTTGTTTGTGTGACATAACTAAACAATGTTCACTTTTATTATAGTTGTTTGCATAAATACAAAACAAACACACACACAGACACACACGCACAGACAGACACAACACGCACACACATACAGTCAACTCACACACACATATGTGCATACACACACGTACAGACACAAACAGAAACACACACACACACACACACATATATATATATATCGTTTATCTATGTGTTAATAAAATTATTTGTTTAGTTTTATAAACACACATATCGATGTGGCATGAACGTATACACACAAATAACCAGTAATTTTATGACTTATGTGGTTTGTTTGTGTGTGTGTCTGTTTGGATATCATGATTGTTGTCATATCATATGCATTAGTATACTGTTGATGTTAACTCTGAGACTATGTTTCACATTTTCAAATGTGCCTCCTCTCCATTGTTGGGAAACTTTCAAACGTTCAATACACTGTTCATTAGCGTAGACGTGCTAACGAAAGTAGCAAAATACATTTTGTTATCCGGCTTATAATGTTATGTAAGTTTGAGCTGATTCCATACACTACACTACACACACACACACACACACACACCTTTAGAACGTAATTTTTCAACTAAAAGCAAGCTATAATACAAACGCAGCGCTAAGCTTGGTTAGTCTAGTTTTCAAATTAACAGCTCAACTCATTGTAAAAAAATCAAATTAACAACTCGACAATACATTACGTTAAATTACACACGTGTTAACGAGTTTGTGTACAAATGCTAAGTAGCAAACAAACCAACCGACACATGTGTGTGTTGTGTGTACTTTGTTAAAGGAATTGCTAGTTGAATGTATTTGCATTGAAATCAATTTTTATTGTTTAAGCACTTAGTGTGTTGTTGTTGGTCTAGCCTATTCTTATGTATTAGAGGTTAACTTGTTCTTAGACTAATTCATTTTATTGACATTATTTAGCATTTATTTTCCGTATTAAAGATAATTAGCTATTGCTATACGTATTTATTTTCCAAAAGACACTATCTTAAGACACTCTGCCTTCAAACCTGGCTTCTGTAACATCAAAACCAGGAACTTTTAACCATTAAACCATCTCGTCTAATTTCCATAAATGTGAAGTACTTTTTCTTGCCTCATTCAGCATAGCCAATTTTTTAATTTTATTTTTAAGACATAGAAACCGAAAGACACGTGTAAAATATTAAGTATATATTCAGTATAAAAGACATACATACCATAGGAATATAAACGTTTGTGCCTCGAAATATAATATGTAGCAGCAGCATGTATCAATATTCTTCTGTTTTTAAAATGCACAACTTAAACAATTAAAATAGCAAATATACAAACCATTTAAATATACTTCTTCTCATTATATACTCACACACACACATATAAACATGTGTGTCTGTGTGTACACAGTTATGTATGTATGTGTTTTCATATAAAAATTCATCATCTAGAATGCCATTATATAAAATCGATGAATTTAAAATATATAAGGCTTAACAAGAACAATTAAAAATATTAATACAATAAAAAATACAAAAACGTGGAAAAATAAAAAGAAGTCTTTTCAATTGTTTTTCTTTTTCATTCATTTATAGGCACTAAATACAATTTCATTCTGGAATTAAAATTGCATATCAGATACAAATTTGCATATAAATTAATGCATAGACATAAATTATGTTAATTTCGAAATCAGCTTTCAGAAATTAGTAGGAACAAACTGGTGGATTGATGACGATTAGTGATGGATTGATAAAAGAATTGATGGCTGGGTTAGTGTTTTTTTTTCAATGGTTTTGAATGACTACACATATAGTAGGAATGAAAAAATTACAAAATAGAAACGAATAAAAAATTATTTTTTTTATATAAAATTATACAAACATTTTTTCTAGTTTATTCAAATGAAATATTTAAATGTGAAATGTTACCAATTTTGGTAGGCACATAGGTAAAAAATATTTTTTATAAAAAAAAAAAATAAAAGAAAAAATACACAAACATTATAAACAACAGATAGGAATACATTGTTTACCATTAAAACTCCAAAGAGTAATATTCATTTCATGGAAAAAATTCATTTAAAAAAAGCCTCAAAACATTTCTAGATTTAAATGTTAATCAGCAACACAATACATCCTCAGTTGGTACATATCATTTCTATTTAAAACATTGGAAGGCACATAGGTGCACTTGCAGCAGAATATTTACCACAAATTAAACTCCTCAAATTCAAATATACAGATAAAATTATGGAGAATTATATATACAATGTTTAAATTGTTCTTTCTATACACATATATATATAATATATATATATATACATATAGTTAGTTTGCATGCACATGAGAATGTACATAAATATCTGTTTGATTTACAATATATATATATATATATATATATATATATATATATATATATATAGATAAATGCAAAGAAAAAGTTTAAAAAATTAAGACAAGTTCCATTTACATATATATGCAAGTCAAAAAAAGAAAGTATATGTATATATATATATATATATATATATACACACACACAAGTGCATGACCAGAAATAAAATGAGTGAATGAGATCAGAGGAACCACTGTTTGTAATAAGCATCAAGTATTAAGAATTATTGAAACACAAGACAGGCAGACAGACAGACCCTCAGCTGATAAAACATTACACAGCCAACATCATCAATGTCATTTAATCATTACAACAATGTCTTTACCACCATCCTACCTTAGCTCACAGCCTTCTTCAAATTCAAATTATCCAAATCAGGTCACAATCAGTATTATTTCATCTCCAAATGTAATGACTCTACAATACATTACTTCACATTACTATATTGTTGTTCATCATCATAAATGTTTCATCATCATAAATGTTTCATCATCATGTCATCATTCTGTTCTGCAATCATCAGCATAGCAACCAAAGACAATCAACACCACTTTTAAACAGCTGACTGATGACCAATATTCAATTAGCACAATAATATAATACAATTACATCATATGATGGAAAAAATTTAATACAAATTCATTTGCATTACTTACAAAACAGAAGAAATTCTATGCTATTACAAACAAACGATGATGAACACCTACCCACATCGCCACCACCTATTAAGACTGCTGTGACTACTGGCTATCATCATTGTCGCAAATGGACACACCAAAACTACTTCTAACGGGCCCAACATTGTCCTGACTGCGATTGCCGGTCTTGCGTGTGAGTGGGGGCACATAAAACCTCTCCCCAGTGTTGTAGGGGCAGTACTTAATGGTGTGGGCAGCCTTGCCAGTGGCCCCACAAATCGGACATGTGTAGATGTAGAGTATCGGGCATGTCACTTGACCTTTTTCGTCCTTAACTAAATGTGAGTTAGCGACGCACTCAGGTTCTTTGTTGTTGCGACAGAAAACGCAGACAAGTGCGGGCTCGCCAGATTTGCCTTTAGTTTTATGCTTCGTTCTCTGGTGAAGACGTTCTCTTTCTTTGAGAATTTCAAGAATGTTGACTGACGATAGCATGGTATCAAATATTTGCTGTACTCCAGATATAGGAGTGGATGAATGTGACTCAAGGCCAGAATCATTTGAGACTGAAGGTACCGAAGATTTGTTGTTGTTCATACCTCTGAACAGTCTGTCCAACTCATCCAACTCTGCATCCTGCCCATTTTTTTCAAACTCCTTCCAAACTGACTTGCCTTCGCCATCTTCCTGGGACGGTTCATCAGATTCTGGAGACTGAAAAAGTTTTTAAAGTATTGAAAACTAAGTAGAAGTAGAGTCCGTGTGCACAACTGTGCAGTTTGTGTGCACTACTTTAAAATTATTTTTGAAGGTGATATTCAAGTCTAAATTTGAATTGAATATTTACAGAACTATCAGAAAATTAATCATTATTTTAAAAATAGAAAATAAAATAAAAAAGAAATTTAAAAAGGTGACAACTCACATCTGGACGAAGAAAGAGCCTCTCAATGTCATAGTTGAGGTGGGGTGCATAGAAATTCCCCAAAGTCCTAAGCCCTAATTCATCTGAATCGACTGGCAAGCTCAAACTCAAACCACGTGAACTTGTGGATGACATTTTTAATGTTTGTTTGCGAATGTTTGAAACTAAATTACAATTAATACAAATTGACAACAATTTGAAATAAATTACAAAATTTCCTTCGACTGAACTTAATGAATCTCTTCTCAATTGACTTTCTTACTTTCTTTCACGGTAAAATAAATAACAACTAATAAAAAAAACTTTGCCGCAAATAATCTTGAAATGCATAGAATGGCGGGCTTTTATATCCATTGTGAGACTACAAGCTGAACAATGATACGTCAATCAACGAGAAAGGCGGGACTAACTTTATAAGGAAGCCTATTATATGTTAATGAGTTTAAGCGCGCGCTCTACATGAAAGAGCGGGAAGAAGCACATGGGTTTCTGTGATTACGTCACACAAAGAATTTATTATCAACTATTTTGAGGTTTTTTTCCTGAATTATTTTACTGTTTTTGATTATTATTTTACTATTTTTATTATTTTACACAAACAGACACACTCACACATACACGGGCGATCTCCGGTTTTGTGAAATACATTATTCTTCCGAACAAAAAAACAGGAAATATGATGACGAAGAGTCAGTCAGTCGGAAAAGTGATGACGAGAATGTACGAACAGAAAGGCAGAGAATGTGAATGTAAAAATTCGCCCTCATATGGTGTTAATTACCTAAATGGTTTTCTTGCGAAGTAAATCTCTTCAAGCTCAAAGTCTGTTTTAATAAAAATGAGTGGTTGAGTATTTCAAATCAAATGCACACACACTTATGTGTGTAAATATAAATGTGTGATTGTGTATGAGCGCGTGAATGTACACGTGTGTGTGTGTTTGTTTCTAAATTCACACAAGGTATGTGTGCAGATTGGCACAAGCTCATTGGTTAATCTTGGTAAGATGTCCCATTAAAGGACTTTGAAATGCTTTGTGGTTGCATGCAGATCAACCAACACAGATGATTGTTTCTTACGTCGGGGTGTTTTTATTTATTTTTTAAGTTAATTAAGATCGATTTTGTAACATAAATTTTAAAACCTTTTCAACCCATGTTATTGTTAAACGTTTAAAACTATTCGCGACTTATTCATTCCGATGAACGTTTGGATTAACGAGCTTCAAAAATTTGACAATGTTTAAACATTCTGAAATTCATTTTGCTTCTTTTAAAAAATTTGTAATTGAAAACTCATGAGTCAAAATGAAATCTAAATTTTTAGCGGTGGCGAGCAGAGCCCGAAATTTGTTTGGAGGGGGTAGACGTTAATTTTCAACTTTTTCCTTTTTCATGAGTTGGTGGGTGGTGCAAGCCCTCATCCCCTTTGGATCCGCCGTTGCCCCGTCACGCATTTGTTTCGTTAGTATTTAAATTTCACTTTATGGATCGAAAGACATCACTCACTAATCACTGAAACTGCTGGCTCATTTAGACAGTAACAATAGCATTCGTACGATCTAAAATTTGATCGATGAACAATCAAATTAATCAAAAACACTTGAAGTTATGAAATGATTACTGGGCCAATTAATATAGCAGTCACACTCTATCGTTAAACAGATGTTGAATACGTGAGATGCACTAACCACTTAGTACCTATGAGTTTGTCGACCTATGTTCTAGTGACTGAATGGTGGTTTGTGAAATTTTCTCAGTAATTCCTTATTGTCATTAGCCTATAAAATTTTAAATTTAGGCTACTGTAGTGCTTTTAGAGAACAAATTTTATTACAGTCAGTACAAGTATTTCGATTTAATTGAACGCTTCATAGTACGAAAGAACATACGTACATTATGAATAACAACAGGAATTTAATTGATTGTAAAAATAAATATTCAGATTTAAATAAAAAAAGAACCCATTAAATTATCGACAATATAAACGTAAAATTACTTAGCTGAAAATAATAGCAATTTTCTTGCTATTGTAGGAGGATTATTCTTAGTGACATTGAGGTTGGACAATGGTAGACATGAATGTGTGTATTGAACTGATGACATTTCAATAGTTAATGCCTAATCTATATATAATTATACATCGTGTGTGTGTGTGCGTGTGTTTATGCGTTTTTGTAGCTGCATATGTGTGTTGTATGTGTGAGTGTGGTGTGTGTGTGAGTGAGTGTATGTTGCAATTTAACCCAACTTGTGTCACCAGGGGAATATTTGTGAATATCTGATAGGGGTTGAGTGAGGAGTTGAAATATGCCATAGATGGCAGGAGTGCAACTGCTGCAATTGTTTAAAAATTATATTTTAAATTAAATTCCATTTGTCTATTTCATAAATTTCTATTTAAAATTGTAGTATACATTTTGATAATACTTTGAACAAAAACTTTACGATTCATTTTATGTTTTGTTTGCAATGTAATAATGTCTTGCGTCTGATTTTCTAAAAAATACAAACGCCTTTTACTTAAATTTATTCTTATCTCGAAGTGGTTCTCACACAGACTCTAATCTTCTGAACCACTTTCAACCCTGTTATGTTATTCAAATCTAAACATTCTCCCCAACGTATTATTGCTCTATTCAATGTGTAGAAATAAATGGCTTGTGTCACCATGGGAATATTTGTGAATTCTAATTCTATTTCTAACTCGACGTTACACCAGTTCTAAATTTTACTTTTTTAAATTTTAATTATTATTTTAAATAAATTTAATCTTTCACATTTTTAAAACTTTTTAAATGAAATATTTTGCGATGTTTTGCTGAGAAAAACAAAAAAAAGAATAATTCGAAAAAAGAAAATTATAAATAAAAATACACAGAATTTTGTAGATTGTTTCGTCAGTAACAATGACCAAAAAACTTTTTACAATTTCAAAAAACGCCACAATTGTAAAATTTTACAAAACAGTGTTGGCTAAATTTCCTCATCAGAAGAGTTTGATCTCGAACCACTTGAACTCGAGTCAATTGTTCCTAATGATTCCCTTCTATCGTCTTCACTTACACCGTTTGACTGAACTATTTGATGAAAGATTTTTCCCAAAATGTTTAAAATTAAAATCTTTTTTAAAGGAGTTTTTTAAAAATTTTTAAAGGAGTTAAATCAGGTGTATTGACTTGTATTATTTTTGACACAGACTTAAAATCTTTGAATAAAATACGTAGCGAATTTTTAAAGGAGTTGATTCGAGTACATTAACATGTTTCATGTTTTGACACCAGCAAATAGCTATAAAAAAATCTACCTTCAGACGAACTTTTCTGTCTATATGTATAAAAGATGAAGCTTCCAATGCTAAGTACAGTCAAACCGATTGGTACGCTTGACACTACCAATGCCTTCCATGTTGCCATTTCTTATAAATTTGTGTAGTGAAGCAGTGTAGTTATTGATCAACATTGTTTGGTCCTTAATTTAAACTGACGTCTAGAATTCATCACGACGAATTGAAATATTGCTAACTGATAAACTATTTTAAAAATCCGTTACTTACTCAAAAAGGTTGAATATATAAAATTCAGATTTGGAATGTCTAAATGTGTGAAGCTGGTTACTTGCGCCTTTTATTTCATGAGAATGACATTCATTTCTCTGATGACCATTGACTGTTACGCTGATGCAGGTTGAATCCTCACAGTTCCCATTCGACTTCGAACAGTCTTTACAGTTTTTTTTTGGAATAAAATAACTTTTTGGAATAAAATAACTTCCAAATACGCCAAATAGGCAAAATTTAAACAAATTTATCAAAAATTTGGAATAAAAAAAAATCTAAATTATACAAAAACCAACCGAAAAAAGATCAAATTTTGCGATATGGAAATCTCATAACCTCTTTCATTGCAGAAGATTCCTGTCCATCCATCATCACACATTCCAGGGTGACAGAAATTCGCTTGCATATTGTTCATACAGAAGTGACTGGAGGTATCAACTGATTCGCTTTGGTAGAAGGAGAATGCTTTGAGAATTTGGGAAATTATGTATGTTAAATGTAGAGTTTATATCGCGGTTTCATTTATATTTTAGTTTGTTATTAGCTGATTATAACGTTTTAAAAAAATACAAATAGATCACGTAACTTTCAATTTGAACATCGTGCTCGTTATGTTACTTTAAAAATAATACTCTCTCTCTCTCTCTCATTAGAGAATTATTCACGTTACACAAGTTAACGAAAAAATGCAGGAAAGTGGGATAAGAAATGATGACGTCACTTAGGGACACACCCACCCCATTCAATTAAAAACTCGATTTGGATGAGGTAGGTAACCAGACACGTACCCATGACCAGAACCCAGTATAACAAAGGGTTCTGTTGAATTGATGTGGGTAAAGCTATCATGTAAATAAATTAACAATGACCCCTTGACCAGCCAACCTTTGTAGACGGAGAAGGCGTGGGTGGAGCCACAATTTTTGGTTGGGTCATCGCGGCAGAGCACGTCGCATTTGGAAATGTGCACCTGGTCACTAGGTGCAAACAGGTCGAACAGGTATCCACAAACACACATGGAGGAATTCTTTGTGAAGATAAGTTGAATGATGCTAAACAAACACTATACTGTGTGTTGTACTGTGTGTTATACTGCGTGTTATAATGTGTATTATATTGCGTGTGAACAGTGGCGGATCTAGACAACTTTGACAGGGGAAAAAGCAAAAATTTAGAAAATGTTTGAATTTTCACAGGGGGGTCAAAATTTCCCCCAGGGGTCAAAATTTTCCCCAGGGGTCAAAATTTTCCCGGAAGGACTAAGATTCTTGACAGTGTGACTGACGGCTTTTTTTGCTTATCACGTTCAATTTTTGGTCGATTTTACACATAAAAGAGTTCTTTTTCTGACTATTACTAAAAATAATTAGTTGCCCCTCTAGATCCACCACTGCGTGTGACTGTGAGTCTACCTTAAGAGCTACATGATCTGATTTGTGTTCCCTACAAAAGCTTAGGCAGTACGCAAACGTCATGTAATCATCTTTAAAATGATCTTTTGCCTTTTCCAAATTAATTTTTTCGTCGGAGTAACACCCAACCAAATCTTCTACTAAAATTTGACCTAGATGAAAAGATAAAATTAATAAAAAGTTTTATTTGACATTATCAGAATTCATATCTTTATTCGTAAGATGATACTAGAAAAAGTAGCATGACATAATTCAACCATATTATTATTATTATTATTGGTGTGTTTGTAAGCGCTCTTTAAAAAGATCTTAGAGGCCCTAACGATTATTGGCAGTACATTGCTAGCGCCCTTTAAAAAGATCTTAGAGGCCCTAACGATTATTGGCAGTACATTGCTAGCGCCCTTTAAAAAGATCTTAGAGGCCCTAACGATTATTGGCAGTACATTGCTTAGCACTTTATTAAAGTAATGCAATGAATGGAGAGGAAAAAGACATTAGCACGGGTAAGCTTGGACAAAAAGATGGTTTTTCAGCTTTTTACGAAATTAAATAACAGACAACGCAGGATCACGAAGGCCCCGAAACCATAATCTAATAACAATACATAATAAAATATACCATAATTTGTTGGATATACAAACTTCAAAATGTCAGCAAAAAAAAACACCAAACTATGCTTTATTTAAATACCATTGTATCACATTTCTTTTCCAATATTTCTTAGTCAATTTGTAGATTTCACACATAAATCCATCACACACATTGTATGTGATAAGCGTGGCAGTGACAGGCACCTTAACAATTACTCCATCTAGTTGCCCCTTATCCAAAAATAATATTCTAACAGTTCAAATTGTGTAAGAATGACGACGAACTGGAATAAACACTGTAGAAATGGGCTCCACCGCATGCTTTTCCGTCGGCACATGTGCTATTGCACATTGAAGATTCTAATAACTCATCAACCTCTGTTGAACAAAAGCATTCTGATCCGTTCTGAAATTGTCGTAGAGGTGTCTTGTTATGTTTTTTTGCATAGTTTAATTATAAAAAATTAACATTCGGGCACGTGGAAATAAATTGGTGAATTATTTTTATTTTTACACTTTACTGAGTTTGCTGTTTTTAAAAACGCCTTGTTTAAATCTGTCTGTATGTTTTCATGATCAATTTACAATTAATAAGAAGTTACAGTAAAAAAATTGTGAATAAAAACTTGAAAAATGAAAGTTCTTTTGCAAATTTTAAGGTTATTAAATGAATTGTAATATATTGAAAAAAAATTCAAATTTAACTTTTCATAAAGTCGCATATTTTATTTACTTATTTTTCTACTAACACGCATGCAAATGACGAGGCGATATATTGGGTATTGCTTGCAGAAATTGATGCATTCGTCCAAATTGGCCGCGTAGGACCTCTCAACGCAGTTCACGTACTTGAAGCAACCAATGTACAAAGTTGAGGGCATTTTTTCGACAGCTTTTTTTTGTTTAATGTTTCTGCCATGAACTGTATGAAAAATTATAGATTTTAATAAAGCTTTGTCAGTATACGAGTATACGCTTTAGAATAGTGCTGTGGTATCGATAATTTACCAACTTTTTTAGTTTGTGTGTATTTATTAAGAAATATAACTACTGCGTGGTCTGTGAATAAATTATGCTAATCATTAAATAAAATACCAAAGAGAGCATTTACCTTTGGCGGTTTTTAGCATTGAAATAAAAAATTTCATTGAGTTATGGCAGATTTACAAAAAAATTCTTTAATTGTCATTAAAATAATTTCGAAAACTAAACGAATGACACTCTTTTGTAATCTTGAAAATTTCTTTCAAAACCAGTTATTGCAAACTGATATCCAAACCTTTTTTTCCTATTTTACTAAAAAGAACAAGAATCGTCATATGTAATGAAGAAAATGTTAGCAGCATGAAGGAAGAGTAACTAACCCTCGATCTCACAGAGCGAACCACTCCAACCTGGCAGACATTTGAACGGCTCACAGGTTGCTTCTTTAGATGCTTCCAAGTCATTCATACAAAAGTGATAAACCCTGACTGCTTCTTCAAAATTCAGTACAGCCTTTACTTTAAAAAAATATTTTCTCAAATGAATTAGTTTTCAAATATCAGAATATATACTGTGATTTTTGAAAAATTTAATAAGCTTAATAATTGAAAAAATTGTTTTTGTATCAAGTGGAAAATTTAATAAACAAAATTATTTTGCATGCATACCGTCAAATACTAAATAATAACTATAATGTCCTCTTATGCATTCCCATATTTTGACCTGGTTGCCAACTTCCAAATGGTCGGTGCAAATACATTCTATTTCGCCCTGACGATTTTCAATCTTTTAATAAAGACTTGTCTATTTAACGTAAGATTTTAACTAAATCAGCAAAGCAACAGCTCACCCTAACAGCAGAGAATTTTGCCTGAGTCCCCCGACAACATTCAGCATAGACAACAGCATGACACATCTTTACAGACTGTGTATACACTTTACCGAAACACCCGTAAATTGAAGCGGGATATTTATCTTTAAAAAGTTTTAGGGATTGTTCAAATAATTGTAACAATGTTGTTTAAAATAGTTATTAAAGATTGCTAGCCTAAGGTAACAGAAGTCGTCACTGATATTGTTCTGCGTTGCGTCGGCACACACTTAATCTCGTCCACTGATTCAACGCAGACCAGGTCTTCTCCACAATTTCCATTATTAATATGGCAGCCTAAAGAAATAACAGTTGGTACGATAACAAAAAATTTGAACAAAATCGTTAAAATGTTATACTTCAATCATGGAAAACAAATAAAATCTGCTATCTAAAAAAGAATAATAAACTTTATCAAACCACAAACCAGCTTCATAGACATCAATGGAACCAAAAGCAAGTCTAGTTGTGGTTGATCTTTCTTCAGACTGCATGATGATGACGTATTTTGATTTCAGTTGCATATCTTGACAATTAACGCACATTGGCAAAGTAATGTGAGAAGCTTCGCCATCGTATTCAGAACACGTTTTGACAAAATTTCTTATGTCGAGTCTGGCAGATATGTCAAGTGTTTCGTTGAGTTTAATACGAAATCTGTCTAGAGCATTAATACCTGAAGTTTTATTGTTTTTCAGTTCATTTCAGTTTGTGTGTTATTGGAATTGAACAAATATTAATTATAAAATGTAAAAAAAAACAATTTAAAGTAACAAACACACATTATTCAATTATTTTTATTTTGTTAGTATGATGAAAAAAAAGGAAATAAGTTTACAAGAACCACAAGACTCTAGACTGGAATTCTTGATTCTTCAATAGAATATTGTCTATAATTTTAGTTATTGCAGATAAAACTTATAAACAAATGATTGAAGATAGTTGCAGTTAAAAACTGCAATGATTGCACTGAGTAATGTTCGATATTGAGAAACCAAAACAACAACAACAACATCAACAAAAACATCCAAACCTAACAATACATAACTAAAAATTCTACTTAAAACAAAGCCTCATTCAAACGGATATAACGCAATCAGTCGACAGTACACGAAGACAACCAAGGACGCAAACAAAGTAAAAGAATGATAAAATTAAAAATTAGGGACAACTTATTTGAATTAAACTTTATCCCATTATGATCTTAGTTATCTTAGACCTCAATGAAAAAAAAAACTTGAAAAAAATTGAAAAAAAAAACTTGCTCAACGGCTTGTAGACCATGAGATTATTGACGCACACCCTTCCTACTCGATACAGTTTTTTCAATTCAACCCAGCAAAAAGCATTTGAATTAATTTCTTGTACAACTACAATATAACTTTGCTGAAAAAAATATGGATTAATGGAATTGTTGAAAGGGGATGAACAACGCTCCATGATCCCATCATTGAGGCGTATAAATAGTTTGTAGTCTGCAGGTGTTTTTTTTTTCAAAAACAGTAGTATTATCATTTAGTTTAAGCAATAATATATTATACTGAACGTCTGCATTCGTTGTCGCTAGTTTTGTACATCGGATAAGGACATGCACACACTGTTCTAGGACCAATATCATGTATTCTAATGTCAAATTGAACATGTTTCATAGTGCAACGACATTGACTCTCATTAAACGGAATATCTAAACAATTTAGGTAAAAATTATTTTTTTAAATTAATTAATTAAATAGTAAAAGTTAACAATTGAAGGTCATTATCAAAAGTAAAAAAAAAATAGGTGCATTGCATTTTTTATAATATACAGTCATGTAACAAAAAAACTAGAAAAGTTTTTAATTTCTAAGTTTAATTTTCAGACGTTTTAGAAACTTCAGCCTTTCCTAATGGTGTAAAAAAACTTTTGGTAGGATCTTAACTGATGTAAGCAGCCAATGTATGGTCAGTTGAACATAGAGGAAGTAAATACAAAATCGATTGATATATTTAGATCTATCCAAATTTATTTTTCAATTAAGGACCAAAAAAGCTTTTTAAAATTATTCTGCATGATGTTGGTCGTATGACGCGTCGGAATGGTTGGACAAATAATCAGAAAAAAAATTTGCAAAAATATTATTTTTGAAAAATTTTTGAAAAGGTTCCAGTAACGACATTTTATATGCTACAAGTTTGAATGACTTTTAATCGAAACTAGATGACTTTTTAAAAAGATGAATTGAAGGGCCACTGGAGAAGGAAGTTTTGATTTATTGAACTGAGAAGGTTTATTCAACTGACATTTAGTAATGACTAATAAGAACATACAAACCTCTTTTCCTGCAATTAATATCCGACCATCCTTCATTGCAACCCCTGGAGCATTCATCAAACAGATCGTAACCATCTACGTTGGTGGAACTTTTACAGTGAGAATAAGCTGAAAAACCGTCATCTAGCAGTAAGTGCACACGCGCTGAAATATGAGATTAGTTTTTATTTGAATTAAAATGTGCTTTAAAATGAGTGGAGTGAAAATAACTTGCAAATTATTTGGCTTGAAATGTCCCTAATAAAATTAGTAAAAATTTTTTTTGAAAAAACTTGACGACTAAAATCCCAACAACAACAGTTAATTAAAATACTGATAACAATCACCTCCGTATAAAAAATGGGACACGCTTGAAGTATTTTTTCTTTCATAGAACCCAGTAACTTCTGACCATGAAAAAAAACGGAGTCTAAGACACGTTTTAACAATAATTATCTTCAGATAATCAAACAAACAAATAATATCAAGCGTCCAGCATTCTAAAAATAATAAAAGCAAAATTTTTGAATCCTATATATATATATATATATATAAAATTTTTGATAAAAATAAACCAAAATTTTTGTTTATTTTATGCATGATAGAACAGAAAAGCTTTTTTCAGTATTCCTATACCATCTTCGGTGTTCAAATTGATATGTTGTGGTTGTGCCCAGATGCTCAAATATTTTTATACTGTGCCTTTGTGTTGGTTCTTTGTTTGTTTAAATTTAGGGTTTAGACTATCATAAATACAATTATTTATATAGATCACTGCGTTTTCGGCATTATTCATAATACGCAATATACCGAAAACGCCGCAGTGATCTTTATAAATAATTGTATTGTTTGTTTAAAGTGAATATTTAGTTTTACAATCTTCAACGTCGTAAAATGTAACACTTTTACGTGTTTTCATTATCGATGATTCCTCTGTTTCTAAATTTATTGGTAGGAAGAATTCCAATTGCCCGTTGTTGAATATTTATTATCGGATGTCTTCGTTTTATGAGTATTGATTCGGCTAGTCGTAAATTATAATGGTTGTTATTGTAATGTAAGATTTCAACATTGTGTTCCAAGAATTGTTTAATAATTTTAGTTTTGTTTTTCTCTTTCATGTGATTCTCCAGTTTGTACGTACATCGTGACTCTTCTCGATAACTTGGTCGTCGTCATACGTTCCGGGACCCACTGTATTGCCATTCTTGTCGGGAGTATTGCTAAAACCTTTTGTTGTTTGTTTATCAGAAGTTGTTTTTTGTCTATGAGAATATATATATTATTATTTAGATGATAATTTATGTTAGGAGACATAAATAAATATAGATTATATGTAGATATATTTTAAAGTAAGTATGTAATTATAATGATAGTTAGGTTATAATAGTAGCTCACGAAGAGACAGCAAATTTACAGACGTAAAGCAGCTTAATATAAGGTAATTTAACGTATAATTAATCAGAGCATATTATACTATGTATAATAAGAAAGAGGTGATATAGAATAAGAAGTGACAGGTTAATAGGAGCGAGACAACTAGTGAGGCTCTTAGGAGCGAGGTCTCCTGATATGTAATCGGCGAGCACAATATATGTATATGTATATATATATATATATATATATATATATATATATACCGTTACGGTTAATATATCACGCGTGAAATACTATTTCTTGCTCACTTTCATACTTATCTCACACTCTAACCATGTTTTTTTTAAACAGCTGACCACCCTCACATATATACTTATCTCGCCAATTTCGAACAATGAATCTCATTAGTTGCGGAGGTCATTCTGGCTCTCGCGTTCTCACTTCTATTCTTTTCTCACCAGTACTAATTAATGAAATTTTCTTTGTGTCGATGGTCAAGTCTTATTTTTATTTTTTTATTTTGAATATTTAAAAAAATTTAGGAGCACTGAATTAGAGTGAGAGTAAGAGAGTGTGTGCCATCTCAGTCAAAAATTATATCTTTAGTTTTGATGACTTGAAACTCCAACACTGAAATACGCTGACACAAAACCATTTATTTTAAGTACTGATGCGTCTACAATTGCTGTATATTATATTTTGCAGCAAAAAGAATCACATGTCAACCGCTTTCGAACAGGATGAAAAAATTATGAAGAGGATCAGAAAAAATAACGTCCAAGCAACCAACGAAAACGAAAGTATTAAACTACGAATATACTACACCAACCAAAGAACGTCATCTCATCTGATGCAAAACAACGGCTCTAGTAAGCAAGAATCGATAATGGATCATAGCTATCTAATATATTTGTTCAAATGTAATATTGATGAGTGTGGGCACCATAATTCCCAATACATTGGTATGACCAATATACAAATGTTAATGACTCTCACAGTTGTAATTATGGCATCTAAATTCATATATTACAAACATGATGAGACATGCAGAAACATGAAACATTATTTGAATGATGCAAAATGACTTGAAATCAACAAATTTGTAAACTGTATAAGATTGTGAACATTTTGATCATTTAATAACTAATTACCTATTATCAACTTTTTCATACTTTTCACTGTATATTGCATCGATTGTCGGAATATTAGGATAGAACTCTAAGAACTCTATCGAGTCAGGTAGGCGATTGAAGCATGAACATTTACCGTCTTCCTTTGGTGGTTATATTAAATAATCTCTAAGTTTTGAATATAAATAATTATAATAGAATGGTTAAAAACATTAAAATTGCTGCTAGCACTTGCTGAAAAATTAATTTTTTTTGTTTATTTGTTGGTGAAATTTTCCTTTGCAATGGTTAATCTTCACGATACCACACCAAGAGGATAGGTGTCATACACGAGTTCACGATTCGTTTTCAGCTTCAGACTGATTGACGTTTTGTCATAACAAGCTTCTTGCGCAGTCTTTGGAACGTTGGTCCTGCAATGGAAAGACATCTTTTTGCTTCTACGTCACATCTTTCCTCTGCAGTTTTCCTGGCTGATATAATAGTTGACCATCTTTATGGCATTTTCATCAATTTTAAACTTTGGCAAGGGTCTGCTTTTTGGTAACAGCCATGTTTTCTGTTACTTTATAGTTTATTTTTAATCCAAACCTTGTAATTTCTTAGAACTTATCTGGTATTTTAATTTAACATAATCGCGCGTGGTTCACGTTTTACGTTCACACTTTTTCTTAATTCCTTTTAAACCAGTCCTTCTCTCTGGCTCTCACCCTCTCTCTTTACCTACTTCACAGTCACTTTTGAATTTTGGAGCAGATCTTATGGCTTATTTATCTATTTGCAAAATTCAATGGAGACTGTTAATTATCAGGAAAAGAGTGTTTTAAAAATTGATTAATTGAATAAATTGAATTTTTTGTTTTAACGCTCCAGTTTAAATTATTTTTCAAACTGAAGAGAAAAAAATCTAACAATGTTTTGAAAGTAAATTGATTTTATCTCTTGGCAAAACTTCAGACACATATTGAGAATGAGCGGGATGTTACTTCTCAGTGTTATTTCTGGCAGATATTTTTCCTTCACGTAGCCCAATAAAACATTCCTAGGCCATATCTGCGGAACTACTAAAATTGTAAAATCAAGAGAAATTATAAAGTAGACATAACAAACTTTGTTTGAATGGTTTACATGGTAAAAAAATATTCGACTAAACATTTATAACAACTGGCAAAGATATATTATTGAAAAAAATTTCATAAATGAAAAGAGTAAAGTGAACCACCTTTTATAACTAATCTCGGCGTCAGACCAAAAGTCCTTTCTGGACAAGTTCCCAGGCACAAGCAAGGCATGACTGTGGCGTGGATGGCGTTGATCTGTTGACACATTAAACTATCTCCGCTGATCTTCGCAAAACAAATTCACAAAGTCACGTTTTAGGTAAATATGATAAAAAAAACGCAAACCTACAGACCACGAACAACGAATGACTTGAAACACAACAATTTGCTAAAATTTAAGAGACCTGCTCAACTATTTTTTTATGCGTGTCTTGCTCAAACATGACCACGTATAATCATCAAAAATTTAATGACACGATTGAAATATTGAGACCCCATAGCGGGTTAACATAACAAACACATACTGAGTATGCTATAAATTCGTCCTGCCATTCACTAAGTACACTTTTATAATCATCACAAGGTACCAACTTTGAATCATCAAATGGTGTTGGTTCAAAATATTTACCATGTAGCACCACGCATCCTGCAAAATCTGAATCAATTGTGATTGACTGGTTTTATATTTATTTCAAACGTGCAAACTCTACAGTGGCATAATTTAAATTAAATTTCTAACTGTTTTTTATGATGTACATCGATTAAATTGAAAGTAGTCAAATTTGATAAAAACGTGTTTACTAACTATTTATTTATTACCTAATAAAAGTTCCTACCTATATTATTAAAATTATATTAAAAATTGGACCAAATTGAACATTTGGTATTTCCTAGAAATGCACCAAATATTCGGATTACCGAACACCAAAAACCCACAAATGTGGAAAAAGTTTTGCTTTTTAAAATAGAGAACAAAGTATTAAAAAAGCAATAGGCGGTTCATGTCCGGTCCATCCGACAATTCTTTATCAAAATAATATTCAATTTCATGTTCAAAATTGGTTGTTTTAACAACTATGATGGCTAAAATAGCATTTCTGTTAATATTAATAATATTAATCATCTAATGTTTTGGAATCTCAAAGTTATAGCTTTTGAACAAAATTTGCAATTTTTGGATATTCGACCTTTAAAACGGAAATGCTGAATATTTTGTACATTTCTAGCATATTCATTTTGGTTCTGACAGAATTTAGGTTAATCTATGTTAATTTTCCAAAAAAAAAATTTATTGAGATAAAAAACAATAATAAATTTATTATAGCTAGATTGGAGTTTTTATTCGTTTTTCTATCTTAAAATTTAACGTTGTTACAAAATGCTCTAATTAAAATAGTAAAAAAATTGACATATATTCAAATAAACGTTCAACAAAGTTTGCATTTGAAGCAGCTGTGTTTATCTATCGGAAATCTTGAACCTACGGATAAACGAACTCTTGACGATCGTCGGAAGCTACAACATTGGGGTTGGAAGTATAGAGATTATTGAAGTTATAACATCGGTGTTGGTAGTTACGTACGAGGTACAAGGATTTACAACAATATTAATTATTAGAAAATAGGTCCAATCACCAGCTAACCTGGATATAAGATTTTCCGTAAAGCTCTCGAAGCATGCAGCATCGAGACAAGAACCAGCAATGCAAACTTTTGATTCATTCTTCAAACTCCAGAATAGTCTGATTTCGACAAATGATTTTGTGACTTCTAATCTGAAATCAACTAAACGTTATATATTTAAAAAAATATCGATCAGTTGAGCAGATGAAGTTTAATCGGTTTAATGAATTCCATAAAAATAAATTTTTACAGATTGGTCAAAAATTTGAAATGTAATAAATATTAAACATGTACGTTGCAGTCAGTGTAAGCAGAAATCTATGAATACCGAGTTTAAAAATAACAACAATGTCGTCATCAAAGAATTATTATAGCTCATATTTATATTTCTGTAACAAATTTTTTGTAGACTTATTAATTATTCATATAACACTTCTTGAAAAATTTTTTTTTATACAAAGGACAAACAAATTACATAATTTAGAAGATAACATTGATAACAAGTTAAAAATTTAGTGATTTTTAAAAATTTTCATTGTCCAAAATAAACATAAAATCTTAAAATGGTCTAGAAACCAAAAATAAGTGTTTTTTAACGGTCACCAGTTACTTATTTAATAACAACATAATCATATCATATCTAACGAAGACTTATTATCATCATTATAATTATTATTCACAAGCACAAAAAGTAACCATGCACCTGTATCAGTGCCTTAACTATAATAGAATTTATAAACAGAAGATAAACAACTGTGAGAATGCTCAATGGCAAAAACGATAGTTTCAGTCTCATAAAAAAAATTAGAAAACATCAGAATCCGACCTGCCGTCCGGGTTTGTTTGAACACAAAAATTAAATAACATTAATTTTATTTAACTATTTAGGCCGCTACCAATAAGTATTAATATTTCGCTATAGTATGTCATAAAATGTATCTATACGAAGTGCTGGAAGTAATTTAATTAATTAATTAATTGATTACAGACTGTTTCTGTCGTTAAACTGGTAGTGGTAAACTGTTTCATTGTAGAGGAGAATTCTTAAAAATTATTTTCATTATTTTTCGTTGAAATCCTACTCTTTTTAAACTGTTCACATGTCCGATTAGAGACTCGTTACAATTCAAAAATAGGCCGCTCTAAAAATATTTCGGAGAATAATCTAGAAATATTCAAAAAATTATGTCCAATAAGCAAGTTTGCCAAAATATATAAATGTATAAATGAAATGAGACGTTCTGCTCCACCAGTTAGCGAAAACTTATAAAAAATTCAAAACCACACAATTCAAAAGGGCCGCATATGTACTTAAATAGCAAATTTAAGTTTTTAAAATTTTTGGCTCCTTTTAAAATAAAATAGCCCGGCGGCCGCGGACAATAGTTTGTCCACCCCTGGTGTAGATCATAAATTTGGTTACTTTTGAGAATTATACTTGGTAGTTTTTGTTCGTATTTAGGACTCTGAAATTTCTGTTACTTGAGTCTTCTTGCTACGTGTGTTTGATTGCCTCTGTTTCCCAATTTATTTTATATTTTAAATGAGCCTGGTTCCAATTCCCTTCAAGATATTTTTTTAAATGTCGTTGTATAAATATAAAATATTATGTAATTATTCAATCAACAATCCGATTCGAGTTTTTAAATTAAAAACACTTTTAAATCAAAGTTTAAATTATGTATTTTATGTAATATAATGTATAATAATTTTTTTTCATAAAAATATTAAATCGAATCTCTGAATGTACAATATTCATTTTCGTCAATAATTCCCCCGCCGTGTATTGATCACAGTAACTTACAACATTTGTCAACTGCCTAAGCTCTACAAGCTATGATGGATGTATTCTTAGCTGTCCTTTTGTTCTTGCAGACGCACTGCATGTTATTCTTCAGCAGGTTGGGACAGTTCTTGCTCGGAGATTTCACGCACTTGCCACTGTCAGCTTTGAAGCAAACCTTGCAGTACGAGTTGCAGGGCAGCCAGAGTTTTCCAGTCAATCCAGACGTAGCAGGTGAACATCTGCTCCAGTCTTAATTCAAGTGAAATAATTCATTCATACAATTTATAAGAGCTGAATAGTTAATTGACTTGGAGGAAAAAATATTTATCTAGTGATGTTTCGTTAACAAATTTAAGTTTATGCAGCAGATGGCTAACCATCCCAGCAGCCTTTGATACTACAGAAGACAGGGTCAGAAGACAGTAGTAGTAGTGCAACTACCACACTACAGACAACAAAAACTACTTTCATGTTTGCTGTTTTGAAAATAAATATGAAAAAGTTATCTAATAAATGATCAGACTGCTTTTGAACTGTTTGAAGGATATCTCGAATTTATAATAAGGTATAATTGATGATGATGATGAATTATGCTCATGTGAATGTATACAAGTGTATATATGTATGAACGTATGTATGTATGTATGTGTGTAAGTATGTATGTGCGTGTGTGTGTGCGTGTGTATGTATACATGTATGTATGTAGGTACGTACCTGCGTACGTATGCATGCATATATGTGTACGCACGTACGTACGTGTTTATGTATGAACCCATAACTGATTAGAACTATAAGGAAGTAATAATCATATCCGGGTTAAACGCTTCGTACAGACAGGTATTTTAACGCTCCATCCAAAATACAGAAAGAATTATATTTTTGAAGTAAAATAGAGAAAGATTGCTTTACATAACTCTTATCTAATGGGTCACCCGATACTTCTACAATCCTGCTACAGAGTTCATTCAAAAAACTCTGAGTCTGAAAATCGGTTGGACCAAAGGTCTCAAGATAGACTGGCTGAAAAATTTTGCTATCTGCCAGAGCCGCATATTTTGAATTTTTAAAGTCTGCGGCTCTTAAGGCAGCGGCACCCGCCTCCTGTGAGGTAAGATTAATGTACTTTTCAGCCATGGTATGGGGGAACGTAACATCCCATGCAAGGGAACGTCCATGCGCCCATGGTGAATGTATGTATGTATGCATGTACGTGTGTATGTATGTAAGTGTGAATGTATTCATTCATTCTTAAACAAACATAATCAATTATGAGCCGGATCTTAACAATTACCTTTTCAACGTAAAAACATCAGCCTATCCAAGCAACATTCAACACACCGTTATTAATTAGCTAGTAAGTAGCCAATTAATTTGAAGAAAACAACAACTACATGCTAATTCCGATCATTCACTCATTTTCATGCACACATAGATTGCTTTATTTTGTTTTGGGATAAAGAGTTTTATTATAGATTATATGTTAGGTTGACAACTTGGATATTTGTTAACAAAAGTTAGCTGGCAAAAGTTAGCTGGCAAAGGATATATTGATTAATCTGTGATACATAAAGTTACAGAACAGTTTGAAGCAGAATGGTTTTACCAACGAAAAACATCACCATTGTGTTGCTGCTGTGTTTCTCTGTCTTCCAACTCTTCAACAATAACCACGTTTATGGCTCGCCCCTTGAAAATAGTCTGTACATGTTTTCATAATTAAAAAAAAATTATTTATAAATAAGAATTTTTTTCACGTATTCATAACTTATTCTAAATCGCAGTTATGAAACAATTTTGTTGAAATTTTTTTTTATTTGTCAAATATGTGTGGTGGATAAATTTCATTTATTTATTTCATCGCGATGATCAATATTTTTAAATAACAAGAATCATAGGAGAGCTCAGTTCCACTACTAGTTTAACAAATTATTCTCAATGAACTAGATTCAAACGCTATAGTTTTTAGCTTGATTAATGTTCACGTACATCTGCACTTATCTATTTTGTAGGTTTGAACTTAAGAGATGTTATATTATATGTATTTTTAAGTCCAAAAACAGGCATATGGTATCATATGATATGTTTGACGGCGCTAATACACATAAATATTAATAAAAATGAAGAAATTGAGTTAATTAAGCGTAATTTTTGTTAAATCTATAAAATTTAACGTATAAAAATTGTTGCGGAGTTCCAACGAAACCAACACAAACAGGAAGAAGGAATGTGAGGAGCCCTCAACCACTACCGTACGGGTGCATCCCCTTCAAACATCGCCTCTCCTGTCTGATGGGTTGGTAGGAAGTTTCTCCCCGTGAGAATTGAAATATAGATAAATTTAATTGAGTATAGATTTTCATTTTTTATACATATTTTATAATTTCTGTTTTTTTGTGAGAATGAAGCAACAGAAACGGCAGACTTGCGTTGGAAAAGTTTTCAAAAGTCTGGCGTTGTTTTGGTTTTGGATGCTTTTGTATGGGCTGATTTTAAAGAACGTGCAGAAAACATAATACTTACCCAAACGAACAGTCTTTAATTTTTCAATCTACATTACAAAAATATACTATCGATCTATAATACCAATGCTAGTACTAGTTCGTTTACCTTTTACAATACAGGCAATGGCAGAAGAAATTTTGAGAAGAAAGAAAATGATCTAAAAACAGAAACCAGAATACTCCACCCATCCAAAGCTGAACATAGAGACAGAAAAATGAAAACCTCACAGCCAGCAGATTACAAAAAGAGTGCTGAACACTCCGATAAATTCATTTACGATACTTGGTCGTACTAAGAAGATATCCATAAATTGATAAAATTTAAATCGTAAATATATGATCTACCATATTCTTTACACATAGGTTGATGCATTTTTATGTATGTAAATGGGTCAATTACAGATTTATACATTACGTTTTACGATGCAGTTTCACCTCAAATGACAAGATTATTGAACTTAACTAAAATCTAGATTCATAATTTGTTTGTTTTCTGAAAGAGTTTCAAGTTTTAGCTAGGTTGTTAACTTTGATAAAAAAAATTTTTTAACTAAAATTTTATTCAGATGTTAAATTTGTTATACCTCTGATTCATGCAAAGATGTTTGTTACATACATTAAGTTTTTTTGCTGATAATAATCTAAGATCCTGGTCGGTTCTCTAATTTGATTATTACTGTTAATTATTATTAATAACTTGTCTAACTTTTAGTTTTAATTTAATTAATATCATTAACTTAGCCTCATTTAATTACTATACCCACTAAACTAACTAATACCGGATTCGTCATATATTGTATAGACTTCATATTCAAGGGCGATGAGTTAGCTCAGTCGGTAGAAGTGTCATATCTCGTCTTGAAATTATGCGATTGCCTGGTTCGAATACTACATGTCCGAAATTCAAAAGTCTTTTTGATACTCCGCTTATGATTTGCGGTCTTTTCGCGTGCCAATGAAATAATAAGCGGTCATTTTACTATCTGTTCTAAATATCGCGACCAATGAGACGAGATGTCGCAATTTCAAGAGACACATCCATTTAGACAGGCTAATGTAGATGGTACATATTAAAAAATCATTTAATTAAAAAACTCTTCTTTCTTCATCTGCAGATGCAATTTATGGATGTTTTTATAAATTAATTGAAGGCGATATGCAACAAATTTCGGTTTATCATACGTACAATGCGGACAAGTCTGCAGATCTAAACGATACAGATTTTATGCTTGTAAAGTTGGTTCAAACTACTTTTAAAACTGTTTTCAGTTCAATTACTGTTATACTCTCCCATGAACTAAAAAAATTAATTATAAATTTAAACTTTTTAATTTATTATATTTTCATGAGGCTGAAATAAAATGCGACTGTTCAAACTTTGAAGTAAATGGCCAAATTGAAATTTCTGAATACAATGGTGAACTAATTATTTATTTGAAATATCATTTTTTAATTTGCCTAAATGTTAAATTCAAACACTTTCTTTATGGTTCGAAAAAATTTTTATGGGGCCAAATTTTTTGTTAAGCACATTATTCCACAAAACTTCATAACTACAATTATTTAAATGAAAAGCTTGTTTCGTAGAAGCAGAGTTAACAGAATTTTACATCAGTTGATGCGAAAGTGAAATTCAGCCGAGCGTCGGAATATTATCATTTCTGCAATAATGATCTCGAAAAAGCATCGGATGTCTACCTAGATGGTCAGGTTTCTGGTGTAAAAAAACAGATTCGTAAATTTCGTATCTTGCGACAGAACTGCCCCAAAACGTCAAAACCTCCCAACGACTAACCGAAAAATTGAATATCTTTAAAAATATCTCTAACGTATCTCTGATTCGTCTGCACTCAGTGGTTTCAACGAGCAACTTCTTGTGATCGCTTCACACAGGTAACTTTTAATTTTAACCAAAGGCTAACTTCTCCAACACGACATTAAAATATAGGCAAATTCAACACAACAGCTTATTTATAACATATTCTTACACGATAATTTCACTAATATTAATATATATATTTAAGTAATATTACAATATATACATACAAATACATGAATATAGATACGACTTTTATTATTCTAGTACTAATATACTACACACACATACTAATATATGTATTAATATAACTTCATTTAATATGAGTATTATATACTTTGTTATATAAAAGCTAAGCTTATGAATGAACTGCATTGTTTGGCGATGATTCTATATTTGCTAACATGATTAATCACACACGCATACACACATTTAAATGAAACATCTAGCTTATTATGTACCTTTTATTTATTTATTTATTTATTTATTATTATTATTTCTTAATAATAACATAAATAATAATTTTTTTATTAACATTTTTTGTAATAATGGTGGTAAAAATTAATAAGAAAATTCTTATTAATTATTAATTTCAATTAAATATTCTTCAGCTGATTAATTTCAGATTAATCTCAGAGTTATTTATTTACAAACTTTTATGAAATTAAAAAAGTTCATCTTCATCGTTATCTTATTATTATTATTCCATCATCATTATTGATATTATTATTATTATTGTTGTTGTTGTTGTTGTTATTATTATTATTATTAAAAATATTTAATCTTGATACTTATATCATATTTTCTCACGATTCCAAACAAACTCTATCTGGCTGATGAATGAATACATTCAACTCATTTGTTGACTAACTTTTTAATTTAACCAAAATTATTTTTATTTTGCTAGAAAATGTTCCCAACCCTTAAAATAAGTAATTAATTTAATTAACTTTTCTTATATTTCAGATTCTACACTTCAATTCATTTGAATAATTTTTAATTAATAATTGAAAAGACATAAAATAAGTGATTAATTAAATTTAAAATATGAGAAAATCAAATGAAATCAACAAAATATTAATACACTGGACTATCCGCTGCATGCTTGCAGTTCAGTGTTGGCACATTGGTACAGCAGGTAATGTAAAAATTTGAATAGAGTTTGACCGCTTTTTGAATAAAAGATACTTTTTAAATTCAATTTTTAATAAATTATCAGTCAAATTTGTTACAATTATCGACATTTTAAAATATTTTTTCATAATTTGTACCATTATAAGTAATAAAACATCCATATGATAATTTAATTAATCTGTATGAACTTTGTAAAATCGTGAAAATAGTTTTAAACATACCTGAAAAATAAGACCAACATTTTAATACATGTTGTTTTTGTTTGTGTTTACGATGAATAAATTATATACAGAACTTATAGAGAACATATCTTGGGGCAAGCCAGCCTATCAGAGCAGCACATTTTTCAAAAGCAAAGCTTCATTGGCTGTTGACGGATCTGATTGGACGTGTGCAGTTGCGGGCATCGGTTCGATGTCCAATGAGATTGCTTGGTGGAAAGTTGACCTCATGAATATTTATGATGTGGGAGGAGTTATTTTGCTTAACGCTTTCAATGATTATGGTCAGTTATTCATATTTTCTTTAAAAGTAAAATTTAAAAAATTTTATTTTAGTAAATTCATAACAATAAAAGTGATAAATTCATTTGTGATTGTTCTTCAAAGCTCATATTTTGAAAAACGGTTAAAAAAACTACAGCTTTTTATCACTAGAAAGTTATGCTTAATCGATTACATATTGTTGTTGTTGTTGTATTCTATCAATTACATACCACAGAATCAAGATATCTATCAAACTTCAACATCTACGTATCCCAAACAAATGATAGCCTTGGATACGCTTGCTCTTCTTACACCAACTCGACTCATGTTAGCGTGGGTATGTGTCTGTGGCTTATAATGTAAATGTTTGTTTAAAACTAAAGCCCATTGAACAACTTTTAAACATTTATTATACATAACTATATGCATGCTGAAATTAAACTTTATGGTAGAATACTATTTCAAACACTCGATTAACTAGATAAAGATAATGCCAAATCAATTGATGTTCACACTCACAGCTTCAATCAGACAATCGAGAGTAAAATTCTTCATTTTCACACACACTCTCCAAAATACACACACTCCAAACACACGCACACACATACACACACACACACACACGCCTCAAACACACTCATACACATGCAATCTCGCACCCCATTTTATAAAGGTCAAACCGTAAACATGTCTTGCCAAAACGGTGTTACGAGGGGTCGTTATCTCACAGTTCAAAGGTCAGCCGGGGGCTTCAGGCAAGACGCCCTATCATTATGCGAGGTGAGGGTGTATGGCCAGAAAATAAACAACATTGTTTACAATGATGACAACAAAAACTACAACGACGACAACAACAACAAATACAACAGCAGTAGCAGCAACAACAACAACAACAATACCATTAACAACAGCAGCAGTATTAGCAGTAACATTACAAGCAGTAGTAATGAGAGCAAGCTCGTTAACAAACTTGTCTTCGACTCGATCACAGGTCAGACAGAATATATTTTGATAATTTTCAAATGTCACTTTGAATAGTTGAGTAGATTACGAATTATATCAAATTGTAAAAAGTAATATTAAAAAAGAAACAATATAAATAATTAATAAACAATTAAAATACCAAAACCATTTAACGAACAACTATTATTTAAACTATAACAAAATCAACCGAAAAAAATTTCGCCAAAAATTTACAGATATTTTAGTAACGCCAAAAAGCGCCCGCCAAATCAACATTTACCTCAACAACGCTCCCCAACTGGCGATCGACAACAACCCAGCCACATGTTGTATAGCTGGTTTTGGGTCCACATCCACAAACATCGCCTGGTTTCAAGCAGACCTTGGCGATGTCTATAATGTCAAGTCTGTTGTTCTGCTCAGCTCTTACCTATACTATGGTTGTTGGTTTTTTTGGTTTATGACAAAGATATATATATGTGTGTGTGTGTTTGTTTGCGTGTGTGTGTATGTGTGTGTATAATTTATTATATTATAATATATATTATAATTCTCTTCAAATTCAAGTTTGCTACTTTGTTCTATTCACTAAATTCAAACGCTTATTCGTTACAGTTAAGCTGGACTTTCGATAGATTCTGTCACTTCAACATTTTAAAATCTTTTTAAAGACATTTTATCTGAATGTTATTATTTAAATAATTAAATAAACAAATAAATAATAGTGAATTAATTAATTATTGTATTTATTCGTCTTTTGTCTTTTTAGAAATGCTTATACCATTTTTCATGCTTATGCATTCTTACTCCGTTATTTATTCTCCGTCATCATTCTATAAATCTATACCATTGCCTTGCATTGTGCAACATTCTGACAGACTCTGAAATTTTAAAAAATAATAAAAAAAATAGTATTAATTAAATCTAATTAATAATAAAATGTTGCTATTTAAATTTAAATTAAAAATCAAACAACTCGCTTCACAGAATCGCTGTACATGTCCAACTTCCAAATTTTCATCGGGTCGACCAACAACACCAGCCCCAGAGAAGACGCCACCAACAAACTCTGCTCAGACTACCCCCTCTCAAATCCCCCTATACCCCCGGCAACCAACGTCACAATTTTGTGTTTTCCGACCTCTATTTCGGGGAGATTCGTTACTTTTTGGAGGTCGTCAGGGGGCTTCAGACCCGATGCCCTCTCTATTTGTGAGATTTTCGTCATTGCTGAAAAACATTCTGGTTAGGATTATGTTAGTTTGTTTATTTCTGCCTGTTTATCGGTCTGTCTGTCTGACTGACTGACTGTCTGTCTGTCTGACTGACTGACTGACTGACTGTCTGACTGACTGACTGTCTGTCTGTCTGTCTGTCTGTCTGTCTGTCTGACTGTCTGTCTGACTGACTGACTGTTTAACTACTTGCTTGTTTATTTGTTCGTTTATTTGTGATGTTTTTGTCGCTCTATTGAAAATTGTAAATAAAAGTTTCATTTCTTAGACAGTGGAAATCAAATAGGAACAACAACAACATCATCATCAACAACAACAACAATAACTGCAACGTCAACCTCTACAACTACGTTTTCCAACAACTCAACGACAAAACAATTTCCACCTACAACTTTTTCATTTGTTATTCCAACGACATCAACATCAACATCAACAACTCCTACTACTACTACTACGTCTACTACATCAACAACAACAACTACAACTCTAACAAAGTTTACCTACAGTTCATCATCTTTAAATTTTTCCACAACGCCAAACTCAGCACCAAGTAAGTTTACAGTTGTAAAGTTACGACACTATTTAGTATTCCAGCAGTGTATATTTTCTTTTTATCATTATTGTTTCTGTCTGTTTGTATGCGTGTCTGTCTGTCTGTCTGGTTGTCTGTCTAGCTGTCTGTCTGCCTGTTTGGCTGTTTTTTCATCAGCATCATCATTGTCATCATCATCATTATTGCTAGCATTACTATCATCTTACTAATACTACCATCATCATAGTCGTCCTCATAGTAATCACCATCATCATCATTACCATCATCATTATCACCACCACATCACCATCATCATCATAGTCATCACCATCATCATCTTTACCATCATCATTATCACCACCACATCAGCTTCGTAATCATAATCATCATCTCCATCATCATCATCATCATCATCAAGATTGTCCGTCTGATAAATTCCAGTGTAGCAATGGTGATTGTATAGACTCCAGTTGGAGATGCGACAAACAGTTGGACTGTGAGGACTCCAGCGATGAAGTCGACTGTGGTTCGATTTTTTTTAATGCTTTCCACTTCTATTCATTTATTTTTTAATTTGATTTGATTTTTTTTTACGATTCACTGGTTAGTATTTTTAAAAAATAGGCACGCACGCGCGAATCAATGTATGCCATTCGCCACAGATTGTACTGTACGTGCTGATAGGCGCTGTTTGCGTTTGAACCGTATCATCGCAAGATCAGTACCAGGCGTCTTATTCACTACGCCATTATTTTGAATTCTTAAAATTAAGTTATTTATTCTTGTTTTTTTGCTGTATAAATCTTTAACAATTTCAAATAGATCAATGAAAATCTCTATAAGCCAAAAATGTCAGCCGAATTCTTTTCTATATGAAGTTTTTAATTTTGCTGATTACCTTTCTATTCTATATACCTTTTTCTGTTCTTCTATCTATTTCTCTCTCTTTCTCTCTCTTTCTCTTTCTCTCTCTCTCTCTCTCTCATAATCTCTACCAAATGCTTTCCATTTAAAAAATATTTAATTTTTATATTTCTAAATATTTTAAATTCTTCCCTAAAAAATTCATTCCAAACTCGAGCAGCATGTACGAACGGGGAAATGAAGTGCGTTCCGACGGGGCTGTGCGTGCCCCGGGAGAAAATTTGCGACGGCATCAAGAGCTGTCCGGACAACAGTGATGAAGTTAACTGTAGTATGTTTTGAGATTTGTATGTGTGTTTGAGGTTTGTATGTGTGTTTGAGGTTTGTATGTATGTTTGAGGTTTGTATGTATGTTTGAGGTTTGTATGTATGTTTGAAGTTTGTTTGTATGTTTGAGGTTTTTATGTATGTCTGAGGTTTGTTTAAGGATTTGAGGTTTGTATGTATGTTTGAGGATTGTATGTGTGTTTGAGGTTTGTTGGTATGTTTGAGATTTTTATGTATGTTTGAGGTTTGCATGTATGTTTGAGGATTGTATGTGTGTTTGAGATTTGTATGTATGTTTGAGGTTTGTATGTATGTTTGAGATTTGTATGTATGTTTGAGATTTATATGTATGTTTAAGGATTGTTTGTATGTTTGAGGTTTGTACGTGTGTTTGAGATTTGTATGTATGTTTGAGATTTGTTTGTATGTTTGAGGTTTGTATGTATGTTTGAAATGTGTATATTTGAGATTTTTATGATTGTATGTTTAAGATTTACATACGTTTGAGATGTTTATATCATTAGGCCATCATATAGACATCATTGTCATTATTCTCATTATCATCATCCTACCATCACCATCATCATCATCTTCATCATCATCATTACCATCATCATCTTCATCATCATCATTATCATCATCATCAATATCACTACCATACCCTTATCATCATTATCACCACCATCATCATCTTCATCACCATTTTCTTCATCGTCATCATCTTTTTCTTCATTTTCTCCTTCATCATCTTGATCTTCTTCATCATCTTGATCTTCATCTTCTTCTTCTTCTTCATCATCATCATCTCCTTCTTCATCATCATCATCTACGTTATCATCATCATTTTCTTCTTCATCTCCTTCTTCATCATCTTCATTTTCTTCATCATCTTTATCTTCTTCTTCATCTTCTTTATCATCTTCCTTTTTTTTATTATCTTTATTTTCTTTTTCATCTTCATCATCTTCTTTTTCATCATCTTCTTCTTCATCTTCTTCATCATCTTTATTATCTTCTTCATCCTCATCATCTTCTTCTTCATCATTTTCTTCTTCATCATCCTCATCATCTCCTTCTTCATCATAATCATCTTCTTCTTCTTCATCATCTTCTTCATCATCATCAAACCCCACCATCATCATTCTTATCATCTTCCGAAGAGTGCCAACCCACTCAGTACAAGTGCCTGGACGATGGGACGTGTATACACAATGACTGGCTGTGTGATGGAATCAGAGATTGTGCTAAAGGTGATGACGAAGATGGCGTCAGATGTTGTTAGTTAGTTTTTCCTACGTCAAGAATTTCCTCCCCATCGTCTGTCTTTTCACTTTTTGAATTGTTCCACTTTAAATTTTAAACTCTCTCAATGATTTTTTGAAATTTTTTAATCAAATTAATTATTTAATTGATTGTTTGTTGGTTGGCATTTAATTTACTCAGATTATTTAACTTTTTTTTTAATTTTAACACTGATATTAATATGCAATGTGGCATAGGATCTTCTGGTGCAAAGTTATTCATTGTTATTAGTAGTTATCGCTTATTATCATCAGTGGTGCTTTTAAAAATTCACATCATTGTCGGTTGAATTATTTTCAAAATACCTTGAATGAAAATTTTGGGATCTATGAACGATCACCAAAGCCACGATCCCCAAAAATTATACACCATCAGTTACAAAAATTCATTAAAACAGCCGCTTGCAGTGCTAACAAGTTTACGTGCAAGAACAGGCGAAACTGTCTGAGCACCACTTTGCAATGTGATGGGGTATCTGATTGCTTGGACTCCTCTGATGAAGCTAACTGTTGTGAGTTATGTTATTTTGTTTTGTTGTTTGTCTGTGTGTAAGTATGTACGTCTGTGTGTTTGTTTTTGAATGATTTTCTGTTTCTGTTGCAATTCTTTCTCTAGTAACTGTTAGAAATATTAGCAATGCATATTGCTGTTTGATACTTTTTGCCAATTGCATTTCTTAGAGGTAATCAACTACAGGCACACCTTAAACATGAATACGAGTAAATGAACGCATACACGCACATGCTGCACGCGATGGGAAGAAATCTTTTTTTGTGCCCCTTTTTGAAAGCCCCTCCTTTATAAATGCTCTTATTTTTGTTGTAGTAGAAGCCCTGTAGTAGAAGCCCTGCCTGCCTTTTCGTAAATCCGGTCCCTGTCACACACCCACACACACACACCCACACACATACACACACACACACACACACATACATACATACACACACACACAGTACGACTCCAGAAACTTTATTACGAAGACGCAGCCTTATTGGTGACAATGAAGGGTGTCAGTGATTACAATGTCTGCTCGTTTGGCTGGAGTGACTCGTGGAGCGATGCCGTATGTAAATACATGGGGTTCAGGTTCGATTTTATTTGGAATTTTTATGTTTTGTTTTTGTATTTGTTGTTATTATAGTTATTATAGCTGTTATATTTTATGGTTATGGTGTTGCCGTTTGCAAATATATTTAATTCAAGTGAGTTTTTTTTTTTATTTTTGTTGTTCTGAAGTGATAGATTTTATGATTTGTTTGTTATATTTGTTATTACTGTAGTTGTAGTTAAATTTTGTGATTATAACGATGCCCCATATCAGGGGTGGGCAAACTTTTTTTGCTGTGAGGGCCACATTGAGAACTATTTTACCCTTGAAGGGCCGCATATGTGCTTAAAAAGCAAATTTTTTCGACCCAAAATGTCTGGCTAAAGACCTTTTTTTAGCGAACAAGGCCTCGCGGGTCGTAGTCTGCCCACCCCTGCCCTATATTATTTTTATTACCTAGGATAATTATTTTTTGATATTTTATTATAATTATTAATACTACTAAAATATTTCAAAGTAATTCTCAAAGTAGTTCTCAATATTATTGCCGTCAACTTTTTTCAAGTTGGGATCTTTTCACATTCTAAGCCGAATGATAATTGCGATTGATAGCAATAATGAAACTGATAAAAAATAAATTATTATTTTTATTATTTTATAATAATAACAATAACAATAATAACAATAATAATAATGACGAAATATTATTATTATTATATAAATTTCATCAGGTCAGCTAACGTTACCAAATATCTTCTCCTACCCATCATAAAATTCGTCAAGCTGAGAAATGACTCCAAGCCAACAGACGCCAATGCCTTGCTATCATTCGAGAGAACGTTTGAATTATTATTATTATAACTATAATTATAATTGTCATTACTATTATGCTTATTCTTTAATTCCAAACTGATTAAAATTATTTGTTTATCTAATTTACTAATTTAATTTATATTTAAACGATTAATTTAAAAAGATACATTGATATGTGGTTGTCCCATGAAGGAAGTCAAATTTTTTGGGTTTTTTTTCTCCGATTTAGCCTTCCTTACCTGCCGTAAATTTTCAAACGCCCCCATATAAAACATGCCCCAATTGTGAAAGGCTTTCATGTGAGGAGAGATTGAAGATATGTGGACTGACAACTTTGGACAAATGTAGGAGTAGAGGAGATAGGAGTAGAGAAGATCTTGTTTAGGCGTACGAAATCATAACGGTTAAAGATGAGATAGATTCATCCCTATTCTCCTAATTTACAGAAATTAGAAACACAAGAGGGCACCAGTTTAAGATTTTCAAAAAAAGAGTAGGAACAATAAAAGGAAGATTTTTCAGTTCGAGAGTTATTGAACATAGAAATATGCTGGACGATTGATGCAATTTTTAGCTCGATCTAATTTCAAACTACATTTGCTGTTTTTTTTCCTGTTTTTATTATTCTTTAAATAATTAAACTGTTTTTAGGATAGTAAAACAATTTTAATAATATCTAAAAAATCAATGGAAAATAAAAACATTCAGTAAACCGTTTAATTTGTAATCACCATAACTTTTTCAGAAATTCTTGCCCGGACAAGCTGTTCGTTCACACGAGTTGTCTCAGTTACGGTAACTCAATTTCTTTTTAATTATTTAATCATTTTCGGTAGAAATTCATCTGAAAATAATATTAAATGATTTCAACTATGGCGAGAGGATGTGGCTGGTGAAGCGCCTGGCGTTGCTTTCAACGTGGGTGCATTCGGAGGCAAACGCTTTTTGCAAAGGAGTTATTAAAATGTAAAAATTGTTTGGCTATGATAGCTCCGTAGCAATTATTGCTGTTGTTTTTTACTCTAAATTTAGTTTGTTTTTTTAATCATTAATTTTATTTATTAAATTATTTATTTTGCTAGTTCACCTTACAGCGTAAGATAAACATCTTTCATGTTTCAGTGAACAGAGCATTTATGTTAAGCGTGAGATAGTAAAATACAATGTAATATTAAAACGTGTATATGTGTGCTTGTGTGTGTGTGTGTCTGTGAGGGCGTGTGTGTGTTGTGTATGTGTGTGTGTGTTGTGTGTGTGTGTGTGTGTTGCTTTTACACGTTCGTAGTAATTGAGTTGGTTCTGCTGTCGTTCATTTTAAAGTTTGAGAACTTTCTCATTAGGTTGAAGCAAAATTGCATTCTGCCACAAGGCCTGTATTCAATAAAAAATGTCAGTCATCGTCGTCGTCGTCATCATCATCATCACCGTCGTTGTCATCATCATCATGATTGTCGTTGTTATCATCATCGTCGTCGTCGTTTGTAGTAAACGAAACGAAACGAAATTTTATTAGGCAGCAATTATTTCATGGAAAATAATGTTACAGAACTGAATGAAGTAACGTTTTTAAAATTTTATCGAGTCTGACCACTTGAAAATCGTCATCATTTTCCTCGTCATCATTGTTGTCATCATCGTGATCATTAGTCTCATATCATCTATCAATACATCAACCTTCCTCATATTATCATCGTCACAATATCAGCCCTGTCATCAGCATCCATCATCATCCGATCATCATAGCTGAAATTCATCATCATCTTCCTACTCACCACTACTATTAGTTTCATCGTCACTTTAGAGTTTGGTGTTATGCGAGTTAGTTAACTTTCGTGTGAACGTGTTAGCGGTTAGCATCGAATTTTTTTTTAAATTAAATTATTATTTAAAAATTAGATTCCGGCAAACATACGCAGAATCTGTTACAGAATGCAAATCCCAATCAAGTTGGTGACAGTAAATAAGCGAGATAGATGTGGTTGGGTCCTTCTTAAGAGACCTTGAAATCTTAATGTTTCATACTTCAATATAAGAAAGATCATTAAAAATAATGTAAAGTTGTGTAAAATTTATGATATGACCAAATTAAATTGAAAGAAATAATTGAGAAATGATCATACATATAGACACAAATTTAGTCTATTTAGCAATAAAATAAAATAAATAAACTTTAACCTATGACCTTGAACTTACTGCCCACAAGAATGTGGTATGAAAAAACTAGCCTCAGCGTTGAAGGAGCCCTACATAGTGAATGGGGATGTTGCCGCGGAGGGGGCCTGGCCCTGGTATGCCCAACTCTACTACAATGGGACGTCATGGTGTGGCGCTTCGATTATCAGCGACCAGTGGCTACTCACTGCTGCCCATTGCCTATTGTCAGTTGGTTTGTCTAATTCTTGTTTTCTTTTTGTGACTAATCGATTGGCTTGTTGTTTTTTTTTTGTTTGTTTAGTCTAGAAAACTTTTTTGCTTCAATTTGATGAAATTATGGTTTACTATTAGGTTTAGCCCTAACTTTTCAAACTATTACAGGGCTTTCCCTTTCCATGCACTACGTCCCAAATGTAGAATTTGCATTCTCATCAGTTATGCACATTACCCGAGATGTAGAGTATGGCTGACTATTACGCAAACGCAGCATCAATTTTCTTCCCATCCCGATACTGTCATATTATTATTATCAAGAACAAAAATCGGCAAAAACATAATGTCCCTAGGCCAACATCAATAAACATAAATGTGTAATGTCATTTAAACGTAAATCAAATAAAATATAACCTATAATATATAAAATATATTATAATTATTATAATAATATAATTATAATAATATATAAAAATAAAAATAGATAAGAATAAAAACATAAATAATGATAAAAAAAACGTTATTAATTAACAGTCAAGCAAATCTATAAACCAATGTCAGCTTTCCAATCAAATTTAAAATCAACAATCATCAAGGCACCATCCAACATTTTTTAAACCCATTTATTCCACAAGCCTTAACTACATCCTCATTCAAACCGTTCTGATGTAACAATAGTTTTTTCTCAAATTGCTACTAAATGGCATAGTGTTGATTCTCAGACTATGACCTCTTGTACGATGATCTGCTCTTGGTATATCGAGGAATTCTCTTCTATCTTTTGCATACATTGTATGGTATAGCATGATAAAATCACCACGTACTCTTCTGTGTTTTAATGTTGGCAGTTTTAGGTGCCTCAACCGATCTGCATAATTCATCTGAGAACATTCCCTCACCATTTTAGTTACCCTTCTCTGAACTCGCTCTATTGCTTCAATCTCACGTAGGATCCATGGAGACCACACTGCTGCTGCATATTCCATCTGTGACCTGACTAGTGATTTATACAACAGTTTAAATGATTTTATATTAAGATATTTGAAATGTCTATCTATAATGCCCAAGATTGAAAAAGCCCGATTAATGATATTGTGAATATGTTCTAGAAATTTTAATGACCGATCAAATATAACTCCCAAATCATTAACGCTATTCATAAATGACAAATTATAGGCATTCACACTGTAACATACTATACATGATCCATAAGTCATCATAACACACTTCTCAACATTCAATTTTACCTCATTTATAGGGCCGCAATCATTCAACACATTTATACCATTTTGCAACACGCTTCTATCATCTTCAGACCTTATAACCTTAAATATCTTAGTATCTTCAGCATCAAACAATATATCTAAGCCAATTCCATCACTGTATAAATCTAACAAATCATTTACATAAATCAAAAACAAAATGGGTTCCAGCACATTACCCTGTCCTGTGGGACTCCACTTTTAACCAAATAATATTCAAACAAACACGAAACCTTCTTCCGCAAAGGTAATTCAAACAAACACGAAACCTTCTTCCGCAAAGGTAATTACTTAGCCAAGTAACAACCGTACCATTTATTTTATTCTATATTAATTCAATTTATCAATCAACTTAACATGAGATACTTTATCAAATGCTTTTTCAAAATCTGAATAAAACACATCAACTGTATGTCCATCATCTATCTATCTGTTGCCTTCCTCCACTGATCCATACATTTTTTTTATAAAAGCCACATTGTTTACAATTTAATTTAACATATTATTATCAATTAAATATTGTATTATTGCATCCTTAATAACAGATTCCATAATTTTGCAACATAAGCAAGTCAATGAAACTGGTCTGAAATTGTTGAGATCATTTTTGTTTTCCTTTTTAGTAGAGGAGTCACAATACTTCCTCTCCACATGTCTGGCATTAATGAATCCCTATTCATATGACTTACTAAACAAAAAACACAAATAATCAATTGATTCTCCACATTCAATCAAAATTCTGGCACAGATGTTATCAGGTCCTACAGACTTAAATTTATTAAGAAGCTTTATTTTACTTTGAAAAATGTTGGGCTCAAAATTTATCTCTTCATTTTGCATTCTCTTGTTTTGAAATCAAAATTTACTTTAGGACCAACATGATTATTATTATTATTAAAAACACTTGTAAAGTACCAGCCAAAACATCAGCTTTTTTTCATTAATTAAAACAAGCTTATTTCCATTTGCATCAAAACTAGTCAGACTGTCAATATACTATATTGAATATAGTAATTACTTTTTCTGCTATCATTAATATGTTTCCAAAATAGTTTTTGACTTTTACTTACATTATTAGCAATATTAGACATACACTTTTTCTTCACCAACCTTATTTTTTTTGGACGAGAAATCTATTACTCATCCTTTATTATAATAGAAACATGAAATATTGATGTGACTCTTTACATTCTAACTATTGCAATAGCATTTATAGGGTGTGTATTACCATGGGGTCAAATAAGATTTTGGGGTGCCACAGTAATTACAAACCTATTCGCAATCTCATATATTGGGAAGATGTTAGTTGAGTGAATTTGAGGTGAATTTGCAGTAGACAATGCCACTCTAAACCAATTTTTTTTTCTTCCACTTTCTACTGCCATTTGTAATAATTGCCCTAGTAGTAATTTATCTTCTTTTTCTACATCAAACAGGATCTAACAACCCATTAGGGACTAATAGGGATTCTGACCAAATCTTGTTTCATCCATACTACTCAATTAGAAAATCTGTTTTATTTTCTATAGCAATTACAATTCTTATTTTATTAGTGTTATTTGCACCAAACTTATTTAGAGACCCAAAAAACTTCATCAAAGTTAGGTCTTCTGTAACGCCGATTCGTATTAAACCTGAATAATATTTTCTATGAATTTATGCAATTCTACAATTGTTCCCAAATAAACTTGGTGCTGTTATCGAAGCATTCTCAGGAATCTTAATTATATAGGACCATTTACTAATCTATCCAAAAAACAATCCACTAAATAAACTTATTCTTTGACTATTCATTATATCCTTTCTAATTTTAACATGAAATTTATTATAACTGGAGAGAGAGCCACAATCTTTTACTTTTCATTTTATATTATTAGCCCTATGAGATTTTATGAGATAATTGGAAATGCGATTACCTTAAATTTTAAATTACGTTTCCAACATTTTATTGCTGTGTCGTCATGACAATCTTGTTACAAACACTCCATGAAATATTTGTAACACTCCCAACAACAGTGATCCAATCGGAAACCCACAGCAAGCAAATTTGTACACAGCCAAAGTAGGCACGAACACATTATACGGCACAAACGTTCCCACATTAAAAGTCGACCTACACGTATTTCACCCAAATTTTGACACCATCACCAATAATTACGACATCGGTTTAGTTAAACTCAGCACAAGATTGAACTTCACCGATTACGTGCAACCAATTTGTCTGCCTAGGAAGAATTACAACTCGAGAGAGTTGAGCAAATTTGATGTCTGTGTTGCTACTGGTTTTGGGAAAACAGAGCATTGTAAGTAATCACAATTGCTTTAAATTATCAAAAACTATTTTTTAATAAAATGATGAGTATTTTTACATAGAAGAAAAAAACTTTAACTGTACTCTAATTTGGTCTAATTTCAAATCAATTGACAACTTTTTTAACTTTTACAATTTCAGATGTTTTAGTTCAATTTAATTTCGCAATAACCTCGTTTCTTGTTCTTATATTGATGTATTTATTTTTATTCAAACAAGAGTTTTTTCTTCTGTTATTGCATTACTTTGAAATATACACAGCACATACAAATGTAAAAAACCATGCGAAATACAACGCAACACACACACACATGTTGCCTATGATTGGAAAGGAATAAAGGATGATTTTGCATTTGAACACGGCCACTGAAACGCAGGTGCAGGCGCTTCTAATCATTTCACCGCCTCATTAAAATGACAAACGGTTGCGAATAAAACCAAAATTTTTTTTTCCTCATAATTTGAAGACATTCCTTGTTTATCTGACAGATTCCTCAGTTTCTCGCTTCTTACTGCAAGGTCGAATGAACATAATGACCTATGAAGACTGCATACGAAACCTCAAGAGACAGGTTTACGTGGATGAATCTGAGTTGAGGCAAGTTGTCGTAGATGATATCATGATTTGTGCTGGTTCCATTCCTACTTATTACGAACCCAACTCTTGTAAAGTAAGTTTTATATTTCCAATATAATTAAAAATCGCCAGGTGTGAGTGATATTTAGTACTTATGCAACTTCTAAAATCAATAGAGAGAGAGAGAGAGAGAGAGAGAAAGAGAAAGTGTTAGAGGAACATATAACGCCCACAAAACACACACATATAACTAATCAATAGTACGTTATTTGAATTCAAGTGAAAAAGTACGTTGAGTTTTCAGGAAGCCAAAGATAACTTATGCACTCCGAAGTTGGAATGGTGCACTTGCAGTTAAAAAAAAAACATGAGCTTAAATTTTATATTATACAATATTATAATAGCAGATTTTTAAAAAATATGTAAAAATTGCTAAATTAAATTCAATTAAACAGATAAATATTAAGTAATTTATTAAAAAAATAGGTTCATATACAACTTAGATAAATATATTTACAAGGGAGACAGTGGCAGTCCCTACGTGTGCAGGGACCCCAACGGAATTTGGACCCAGGTGGGTATCACAAGCTTTGGAGTACCGGTGGATTTCGACAAAAGTTGCACCAACAGCATATTTACCAGAGTCCCGGCCTTCATTCAGTTCATACATGACACAATGAGTTATAATATAAAGTAAAAATTTCTTTCTCTTTAAAAACTCCTGGTTACTCACAAAAGATTTCTAAGGTAGAACACAGCCAATAATAAATAGTGCACACCAGTAACAAGTCAAATCAGGCAACACATTCAAAGAAAATATTTTACTATTATTATAATTTACTCTTGTATAATATAGAGTGCTTGCCTAACTTTACATTTCGAAATATGAATGCTATTAAATTATACTTTGGTCGGTAAACTTTAAAAATTTAAATTATTATTATTTGACCAAAACAATTTACGATTAAATTGTTCGTAATAAATACGGACTAAAATAAAATTATTTGTAACACTTAACAGTCAGACATGACAGTAGGAATTATCAATATTTAGGAAAGACCAGTTTGTTTTAATTCATTTTTATTAATAATAAACAATGTAATTTATTCAATGGTAAAATCAAAAAATTTACAGAAATATAATCAAAAATATTTAATATTAAATGCCGACGATTTCGGTTCAATATTTGAAATTGTTGTAGATGTTGTCTGTGCTGTTGAAATCGTAGCCATAGCTGCTGTTGTAGTTGTTGATGTAGTAGTTCATGCTATTGTTAATGTTGTTGCTCTGTTGTTGGTTAGTATGAGGTATGTTGTATGTGTGTTGCAAAAGTTGCTGTTGCGGAAGCTGCTGTTGCTGAAGCTGTTGGTATTGTTGTGGCTGTGAATATATGTTTTGCTGTGACTGTTGCTGATGTGTTGGTTGCTGAAGCTGCTGTTGGTATTGTTGTGGCTGTGAAAATATGTTTTGCAGTGATTGTTGCTGGTACATGTTGTGGGTTGGTTGCTGAAGCTGCTGAAATTGTTGTTGCTGAAGCTGCAGATATTGCTGCTGAAATTGCTGTTGCTGAAGCTGCTGAAATTGATGTTGCTGATGCTGCTGAAATTGCTGTTGCGGAAATTGTCGTTGCTGTTGCTGCTGTGGTTGAAGCTGCAGAAGTTGCTGGTGCTGAAATTGCTGTTGATATTGTGTAAATTGCTGTGAATTTGTAAAAATTTTGCTGCTTATAAAGTTGTGTGTGGTTTGAGGCTGTGATGGTTGCTGATAAATGTCTTGGGCTGGTTGTTGTGCTGGCAGAAGATTGTTTTCTGTGTTTATTATCGGTTGCTTGGCATTGAAACTTTGTTTTGGTGTTCTTTTTCGCTTCAAAGTTTGAATGTTTTTCCTGCTTGGAGTTTCTTGTTGTGATGTTTCCATGTTTTGGATTGGTTGTTGGTGTTGTCGTTGTTGAAGATTGAGTGTTATCAGTTGAGAGCGTTGTTTAGGTTTGGATGTTATTGCGTATTGTAATGTTCGTTGTGATGAGACGTATGGAGTTTGTAATTGTTGAGGACGCTGTAATTGAAGTTCTTGCTGTAGTTGAAGTTGTTGTTGTTGTATAGGTGCTTGTCCTGGTTTTTGATGTTGTTGTAGCTCTTGTAGGAGTTGTTGTGGCTCTAATTGAAGTTGTTGTGGCTCTTGTTGAAGTTGTTGTGGCTCATGATGAAGTTGTTGTTGTGCTTGTTCATGGTATTGTTCGTGTAGTGGTTGTTGAGTTTGTTGTTGTTGATGCGCTGGCTGGATATCGTAATTTGTCAACGCATCAGGCAGATCTTCTAACCAGGAAAAATCTTCATCTTCGGCCTCCACTCTATCTTGTTGATGCTGTTGTTGCTCGTGTTGAAGTTGTTGTATTTGTGCTTTTTTGTTTTGTTGTTCGTGTTGTGGTTGTTGAGTTTGTTGTTGTGCTGGCTGGATGCAATAATTCAATTCGTCTGGCAGATCTTCCAACCACGAAAAACCTTGTTGCTCTGGTTGATGTAGTTGAAACTGTTGTTGCTGTTGTATTTGTGCTGGTTCGTGTTGTGGTTGTTGTTGTGTGGGCTGTATACAATGATTCAACTCTTCTGGCATATCTTCTTTTTTATTCTCCACTCTGTTTTGTTGAAGATGTTGTTGCTCTTGTTGAAGTAGTTGAAACTGTTGTTGCTGTTGTAGTTGTGTTGGTTCGTGTTGTGGTTGATGATTCTGTTGCTGGTTTTGTGACAAATCGTCTTCCTTTTTGTCCTTCACTCTCTCCTTTGTTTCCTCTTCAACCATCTCTTTTATATTTTCATCCTCCACTTTCCCCATTATATTTTTATTCTTCTCTTCATTCATTTTTTTCATCAGTTGCTTCTGTTCTTCGTATATTTTTTGTCTTTCCAGTTTCGCTGTAACTATTCGTTTATCGACTGCCAGGTTGTTGTTTTGTTTTTTGTGGTAGTCTTTCGTCATTTTTAAAATTTCTTCCTTGCTTGGTAAAGGCTTCATCCTATTGTTACCATGGTTCCGTTTCACGACGATCTTATAGTTGTTCAGTTTTTGATTTTTCATGCTTTCAAATTTATTCGTCGTTTTGATTACTTTCTTGCTGTCCTCATTCCGAATGTTGTTATTTTTATCATTCTTTTCTTCATCCTCCTCATGGTTTTTGTTTGCGAGATAATTGTTTAAAACATTTTCCGCAAAATTGTCCAAATCGAAGAAATTTTCAAATGATTCTTCCGTCTTTTTCTGAACCTTTTCTTTCTCTTTATTTCTTTCATCTTCTTTCTTTTTTCTTTCATCTTCTTCCTTTTTTTTCTCTTCCTCCTCATTCGTTCTCTTAAAGGCAAGGAAAATGTTCATGACATTGTCCGCAACATCGTTGACGTCGAAATCATTTTCAAATGAATTTGCCATTGTTTTTGATAATTGATAATTGATAACACCAATTGATAGTAGGAAGAAGATTGTAAAACTAATTGAGAATTGAATATGTTTGTTACTACCGTCTTATATAGGCTGACTTGAAACAAACTTGATTCCATGCACACAGCAAAGTTGATTTGTTACACAATAACTTTATTTAAAAAGTTAATTTATAACACTTGAACTTTGCGTGTCATTTTGTGTTATAACATTCGATTAAACAAAGTGCGTTCTTGTTTGTTGCAAATAAAGTTTTTATTATAAGATTTATGAAGTGTCAGATTCAGCATAAGATGTGTGATCGACTTTGTAAAAAAAAATTTTATGACACATTGTCTGATAAATTATTTTACGATAACATTCACTTTGAAATTTCCCGTGTTAGATTTTGTTTCTTATCGATAGTATTTTTAATCTCATTACAAGTAATTTGATTTCAATGCAATAGCAATCGTAAAATAATTTTTAGTTTGATTGAAAAGTCCATAAAAAATTTTTCAAAAGCGTTTTGAAGATTTTTACAAACATTCCATTTCACTTATTTTTGAAAAATGTTACACGAAAGATTTTTTTTATTTTGTTCGTTGCATCATATCGGCCGTTCATACAGCATGCATTTAAATATAGTTGTTCTTTCTTTCAACAATATCAAAAAATCGCCATTGAAAACTGACAATTTGGTTTAACTGAATCTTTACCTCGATTTCAACGTTTTAAATTATTGATTTAAATAAACTTGAGTTGCTTTTTTAAATTATATGTCTCCCAGATTTTTTCACTGATTAAATTGATTTTTATTAAATAGCAATGAAAAAATTGAGCCAAAAGTTTAAGTTCAACAATGGACCTCACCAATCCTGAACAAATTTCCTTCGAGAGTGTTCTTCCTTCACGAATGTTCTTCTTTATTTTGAGGCAGCTTCCATTCCAAATATTAAAAAATTAATTTAAATATACTGTTAGTTTCATTGTCAATGAACGAAACTCTTAGAGCCAGGTTGTTGACCAGTCCTACTGCGAACCCCCAGGTGTGTCGACCGAACATATCAAGTTTTTAGTTTTGAAAAATAAATAAACTGAATTAGATATTTGACTGGTCATCTATTAGACATCATTATTGAAATTATATGGCTATAAAAATCAAGTTAAATATCACATTACTGAACAGCATAAAAAGTCACAACACTGGGTGTTGTCAAGTTTTCTAGGTCATGCCAACTTTTCACCTCTTTCAATTGGAGAGTTAACCCTGTCAAATGAGATAACGTTCAGGAAAAATTAAATCAAATTATTTCTAATTTGATTTAATATTAATAATTATAACCTAAATTCAATTTTTTTTAACTGAAATTTCCCAACGCAAATGTCTATCAATAGACTGTCATCAGTTTCTTATGGGGTCTCGTGTTACCCACGGGGTACTGTTAACAAATTAAATTAATGGCAAAAACTCTGATTTCATTGGAAGAACAGTCGAAAAAAGTCGTATTTTTTAGCACCACAGAACATTTCTTTATTTTGAATAAATTTTCCCAGATGCTTTCATTTTATAGTAAATTTCATCGATATTTTTGACAAGTCTAGTTAGGATATAACATTTGCAACAACATATAAGGCATGGGGGCCTCAATATTTTTTTATCTTATTTTTTATTTTTTCCGTTTAGAACCCGAAAAATATATAATAAAAAACAAGATAACGCAGCATTCGGTTTTTTTATTTGAAATGTCAAAAAGCTAGAATCATTGACGTAAGTTGATATCTAGATTTGTGCTACAACTTGTAAATCAAATACTTACCTTTAATAATATTAATTATTGTTTATTTATTATTATTATTTTATTATCTATATATTAACGACATCATTTAACGGAGTCACTCGATATTTTCGCAAAATTAATCACAACTAAGAAAAGGCATAGCCAAGGGTCAGCTTATTAGGGGTTGAAACCTCTCTACAATCTATTTTTATATTAAGGTTAAACTTAAATTTCTTTAAATATCTTAGTCAATTTATTAAATTTTGGTTAGAAATTGTTGCTCCCAGTTTATGAAACTGCAATGGTCTCTAAAAATTGATTGAAAATACAATCTTGGATACACAAATAATGAACAAAAATTGAAAAAACACATTCTAAGAAAATATTTTACAATTATATAGAAATCTTGCCTAACTTCTTTTCAAAATATAAACGTTAATAATTTTTACTTTATCGATTAAATTTTAAGAATTTAAATTTGTATAATTATTTGACTAAAACAATTTACGATTAAATTGTTCATAATAAATACGGATTAAAATAAAATTCTTTGTAACACTAACAGTCAGACAATACCGCAGAAATTATCAATATTTAGGTAAGACCAGGTTGTTTCAATTCATTTTTATTAATTTTTATTAATAATAAGATATACATTCTTAATCATTCAATGGTAAAATCAAAAAACTTTAAGAATTATTAATAAAAATATTCAATATGGAATGCCGACGAATTTGGTTCATTAGTTGAAATAGTTGTAGATGTTGTTGCAGTTGCAGTCGTTGATGTAATGGTTGATGCTATTGTTAATGATGTTGGTTAGTTTGAGATAGGTTGTATGTGTGTTGCGGCAAACGTTGTGTTTGCGATTGGATTGTTGATGTGGCTTGAAATTGCTGTTGTTGAAGTTGTTGTAGTTGCTGAAAATGGTGCTGTTGAAGTTGTTGTTGCGGAAGATGCTGTTGCTGAAAATGCTGTTGCTGAAAATTCTGTTGCTGAAGCTGTTGTTGAAACTGCTGATGTTGAATCTGAGATTGTTGAAGCTGCGGTTGCTGAAGTTGCTGTTGTGTAGATTGGAGTTGTTGTGGCTGTAATCTTTGCTGTTTATTTGGAACATTTTTGGGTTGCAGATATAAGATCTGTCTTGTTGGCTGTTGTTGCTGAAGTTGCCGTTGCGGAAGTTGCCGTTGCGGAAGTTGCCGTTGCGGAAGTTGCCGTTGAACCTGTTGTTGTTGAAGCTGTTGTTGTTGAATCTTTTGTTGTTGCTGTTGCTGAAGTTGCTCTTGTTGAAGCTGTTGTTGTTGATACTGCGGTTGTTGAAGCCGCTGTTGCAAAAGTTGTTGTTGAAGCTGTTGTTGTTGAAGCTGTTGTTGTTGAAGCTGCTTGTGCTGGAATTGCTGCTGCGGAATTAGGTGAAGCTGTTGTGGTTGAAGTTGCTGTTGTTGAAGCTGCTGTTGTTGAAAATGCTGTTGTTGAAAATGCTGTTGTTGAAGCTGCGTTTGTTGAAGCTGCTGTTGTTGAAGCTGTTGTGTAAATTGGAGTTGTTGTGAATTTGGAGTGTTTTTGAGTCGCAAATAAAAGATCGGTTTTGTTGGTTGTTGTTGCTCCTGTTGCTGAAGTTGCTGTTGCTGAAGTTGCTGAAGCTGTTGTTGTTGACGCTGTTGTTGTTGTTGAAGCTGCTGTTGTTGTTGAAGCTGCTGTTGTTGTTGAAGCTGCTGTTGTTGTTGAAGCTGCTGTTGTTGTTGAAGCTGCTGTTGTTGTTGA